GATCCTATTTATGTTGCTTTTAGTTGCTGTCAAGTAGGCTTCAACTCATGGTGATCCCATGTACAACAGAACGAAACGTTGCCCAGTCCTGTGCCATTTTCATGGATACGGGACCCTTATCAGATATATGATTTGCAAATATTTTCTCCCATTCTGAGTTGTCTTTTGGTATACTCGAGTCCGTTGCTGCAACCACTGAGTGTTGTGAGTGCCTTTCAACCCAGGGGGCTCATCTTCCAGCACTATACTGGGCAATATTCTGATCCTATATGTAGAAAATCCCAAAGAATCCATAGAAAAGCTACAAGAGCTAATAAATAAGTCAACAAAGTGGCAGGATACAAGGTCAACACAAAAAATCAGTCAGGTTTCTATACATCAGCACTGAGCATTCTGAAAAGAAAATCCATTTACAATAGCATCTAAAAGAATAAAATACTTAGGCATACATTTATCCAAGAAAGTGAAAAACTTGTACACTGAAAACTATAAAACATTGCTGAAAGAAACTAAAAGAAGACCTAAACAAAAAGAACATCCTGTGTGCATGGATTGGAAGACTTAATATTGTTAAGATAGCAATATTCCCCCAAAGCAATCTACAGATTCGATGCAATACCCATTAAAATTCCAACAGCCTTCTTTGCAGAAATGGAAAATGCAACCTCAAATTTATATGGAACTGCAAGGGGCCCCAAATAGCCAAAGCAATCCTGAAAAGCAAAGTTGGAGGGGTCACACTTTCCCGTCTCAAAACTTACTACAAAGCTACAGTGATCAAAACAGCATGGTAGTCCAGCACAACTAGATGGTGCCTGGCTACCACCACCAAATGCTCTGAAAGAGATCATAAGAGAGGGTCCTGGGCAGAGGTGGAGGAAAAATGTACAACAAAATTCTAACGAAGACCAGACTTACTGGCCTGACAGAAACTGGAGAAACCCCGAGAGTATGGCCCTGGGACACCCTTTTAACTCAGTAATGAAGTCACTCCTGAGGTTCACCCTTCAGCCAAAGATTAGACAGGCCCATAAAACAAAGAATAATACACATAGCTCAACCATGTATACGTGACTAATGGGCACACCAGCCTAGGGGCAAGGACAAGAAAGCAGGAGGGGATAGGACAGCTGGATGAATGGAAATGAAGAACCCAAGGTCGAGAAGGGGAGAGTGTTGACACGTCACAGGGTTGGCAACCAATGTCACAAAACAATATATGTATTAATTGTTTAATGAGAAACTAATTTGTTCTGTAAACCTTCATCTAAAGCACACACACACACACACAAAAGAAAGCATGGTACTGACATAAGGATAGAATATAGACAAACGGAATAGAATTGAGAGTCCAGAAATAAAACTGTATATCAATAATCAACTGATTTTTGACAAGGGTGCCAAAACCATTCAATGGGCAAAGAATAGTTTCTTTAATGGTGCTGGGACAATTGGAGATCCACATGCAAAAGAATGAAGTTAGACCCTTACTTCGCACCATACACAAAAATTAACTCAAAATTAATCAAATGCCTAATGTAAGAGCTAAAACTGTAAAACCCTTGGAAGAAAACGATGTAAATCTTCACGACCTTGAATTTGGCAATAATTTCTTAGGTATGATACCAAAAGCACAAGCAACAAAGAAAAAAATAAACTGGAATTCACCAAAATTAGAAACTTGTGCATCAACGGACACTATCAAGAAAGTGAAAAGACAACTCAGAATGGGAGAAAATATATATCTGATAAGGGTCCAGTATCCAGAATACATAAAGAAATCTTACAATTCAACAACCAAAAGATAAATAACCCTATTAAAAAATGAGCAAAGGATTTGAATAGACATTTCTCCAAGGAAGATATACAAATGACCAACAAGCACGTGAAAAGACGCTCAATGTTATTAGGAAAATATGAATCAAAACCACAATGAGATACCACTTCACACCCACTAGGATGGCTATAATTTAAAACAAAAATAAAACAAGTGTTCGTGAGGATGTGGAGAAGGTGGAACCCTCACACATTGCTGGTGGGAATGTAAAATGGCACAGCTGCTGTGGATAACAGTTTAGTGGTTCCTCAGTAAGTTAAACGTAGAGTTACCATGTGACCCAGCAATTCCATTCCAGGGTATATGGTGTTCAAAAACTTGTACACACACACACACACACACACACACACACACACACACACACGTTCATAGCTGGACTATTCACAATAGCCCAGCAGTGGTAACAACCCAAATGTCCATCAACTAGTGAATGGATGAACAAAATGTGGTGTCCATATAATGGAATATTATTCAGCCTGAAAAAGGGACAAAGTCCTGATACATGCTACAACATGGATGAACCCTGAAAACATTATGTTAAGTGAAAGAAGCTAGACACAAAAGGCCACATACTGTATAATTCCATTTATATGAAATATCCAGATTTGGCAAATACATACATTAGTGGTTGCCAGGAGCTGCAGGGAGGGGAGAATAGAGAGTGACTGCTTAAGGTAGGTATAGGGTTTCCTTTTGGGGTGATGAAAATGTTCTGGAAATAGTGATGATGGTTTGCACAACATTGTGAATGTACTAAATGTCACTAATGGTAAATTTTATGTTAGTGTATTTCATCATAATTTTACAAATGTACACACACATAATTTTACAAATTCTCCCAAACCAGCAGGCAGGATTGAATGGAGCTATCTTTCCTTGTTTAGGGTCAGGATTCCCATCTCCTCCATGCAGAAGCACAAAACAACTCAAAATTTCTAAGGAATCAATCATTCATATTTTAATTATGATGTGCAAAGCAAGGTTCAATTATCAGCCCAGTGTCTGTACCCATCCACCAGCCCTTCTTCTTCCTCACAGGAATCCCTTCAGAGCACATTTGCCTCCAACGTAACCAGGCTTCCAAAATGTCAGGTTTTTAAAAATTCAAATTAATAGTTGCAAATCAAACCAGAGAATCCAACTAGGCAAGCCTCTCTGCCTGTTAATTAAACATATACTTGCTCTGGGCTTCTACATTCTGAAGCTAATTACAACATTAGAAACTTTGAATGATCCAGGTCTCCAGCCTTTTCTGGTCATAGTTAAAGTCACACTATTGACCTAGCTGTGTTGCCCATGTAGGATCTATCCCTCTGAAAAAGGAAATCAATTAGAAGGAAACTCTGGCCTAGTGGAACTCAAATCCCCCTTCTGTTCTTCCTGGCTTAAGTATGTTATTCTCAGCTCCCTCCATCTTCTGAAACAGAACACTGGGGTTTTTCACCCAGCCTTGAGAGCAAGTAAGTGAATTTCCATTTTACCCTATTCATTACAAAAAAAGGACCAAACCTGAATTAAACATTGTCTTCACATCAGCCACACTAGATTGGTCAGCTGCGGTCAACCTGGGAAGGACAGGCTGGACCTCTGCCATCTCAGGAGACAAGCCCAGGTCCTTTCTAGAACATCTCTCATTTGTGATGCCAATGGGAGCTCACAGCTACAACTGCCAATTGGCGTCCTAGACTAGAAATGGGAAGAAGGTGGAGGCGGTCCTCCTCTGAGTGCCCACATCACCTCTGTTGGAAGAACAGGGTGTTCTAAGCTTACAGCTGACAGAATAGAGACTCAGGCTCAGCTAGAGAACAGAACCCAGGATAAACTTGATCCTTGTCAGTCCCTGACCTAACTATCCAAACAACCTCTGGATCACTTAAAACCAAAACCAAACCAGTTGCCACCGAATCAATTCCAGCCCATGGCAACCCCATGTGTGCAGAGTAGAACTGCATTCCATGGAGTTTTCAAGGCTGTGACCTTTTGGAAGCAGATCCCCAGGCCTTTTTTCTAAGGTGCCTCTCGACGGGTTCGAACCACCAACCTTTTGGTTAGTAGCCAAGCACTTGAGCTTTGCATCACCCAGGGGTTCCTGAATCACTTAGGAGAGCGAAATCTCATGGATCCTGAAAGCTGTCGTCAACTGAATGTTTGCTAGCAGTCACTATCCATTTTCATCCAGTCCCCCAATTTGCATACTACTTCAGACCATGCACCCTGGGTAGTGCAAACAGTTAATGCGTTAATCAAAAGGTTGTTGACACCCAGAGGGACCTCAGAAGAAAGGCCTGGCAATCTACTTATGAAAAATCAGCCATTGAAAACCCTATGAAACAAGGTGAGAAGGGTTGCACAATCTGAAGAATGTAATCAGTGTCACTGAATTGTACAAGGAGAAATTGTTGAATGGTCTATGTTGTGCTATGTATATGCTCAACAACAAAAATAAAATAAATTTTAAAAAAGAAAAAGAAAACCCTGCGGAGCACAGGTCTAGTCTGACATTCATGGGGTCAGCATGAATTGGAATCCATTCAATGGCAACTGGTAATTGTCAGACCAAGTAACAGAAGAGGAGGGTGGGGCTCTTAGCTATTCCTCAACGCTCTGTTGCAACATTTCAGGGGAGTTTGGTCCTGGAAATGAGGTTTCTAACATCTTTTAACTATATCCTCCCCTGAGCTGAATTGTACAAAATGAATTTTTGAATTCCAGAGAAGACCTTAATACTTACATTCTGAATAATTCCACAAAGCGTTCTCGGAGCCCTCTTTACTGTTGGAGAAAATAATGCTAGTACCTGGGTGTCTTGGCTGCTCAGCTCTGCATGCTGAAGGGTTCACCTAGCCAGTGGAAGGAAAACTAAGGTCCTGTTGGCCTCTCAGCCAACACTGGGGATGCACACGGCCTGGCCTCAGCTGCAACACAGGAAGAGAGAGTTTTCTTGCAGTTCAGAAGTTTATTAGTGACTAGGTTTTGGCCAGTTGGTGTTTACATACTTAATCCGTACAGCCCTGGTGTACTGGCTGCAGGAGGGAGGAGAATTGGGTATTCTGCCAGCTACTGGTCATGTCACCCCAGGAGGATGATGAGACTCTCTCGTGGGTCCAATGTGCCAGGGCTCTGAGCTGGTTCTATCAGAGAGACTTCACTTTTGTTAGAGTGCCTAGGGCAGGGGGATGAGGGTTTTTAGGATTTCAGTGTAGTAGGGGCCAAACACCTGCTGATTGTGATGCGTCAGGCTGACAAACTTTTGGCCCAGCTCTGCCAGCTCTACCTCAATGAGAGCAAGGCCTCCAGGGAGGTCTGACAGAGACCGCTGCACCCCAAGAACCAAGCAGCATTTGAGAAATAGACGGATCCGCTGATCTGTGAGCAGGAAAAGATGGTGAGCAGGGAATAGGCAAACAGATTTCAGGGGGAAACACTGCCCTGCATGCTGCACACCCAAGTTCTATGTTAAAAGATATTCACTGACCTACCCACTCACTACAGATAAGGACATTTGTTTTGTTTGGGAGGGGGGCTGCTATCTAGTTCCCAAGGACAAAGCAAAGATCAAAAACTGATGGGCTAGTAAATTTCTGACTATTCAAAAACTTGCTTTAAGTAGCATCAGATCCTGGTGAGTATTTAACATAACAAGAGGATCGTGGAGTGATCCTTAGGATGCTGAGGTTAGGAGCAAGCTGGCCAAGTTCATGGCCTCCATTCCAACTCAGGGCTAAACAGTGGCGTCCCTACTATGAGGACATATCCTCTGGCCTAATTCAGCAGCAGTTCCTTGTTGGGGGAAGGAGTTGTCAGAGGTTTGGACTGCAGTCAGAGAATGACCAGAAGGCCAGGGATGACTTAACCAGATTGGATGGACAGTATCCCACACCTCAAAGTCATGTGCAGATTCTCCTTAGAACCACAGTGTTAGCCTTTAAACTGAAAAGGATCTACTTTCAACCCAGCATTTTGAAAAAACTAAAGCCTAAACAGTGACTTGCCCAATCCTTTTATTACTAAATGGTTCAGCAAGTGACTTCCAGGGTTGGGATCCACCTCTCCCCTCAACTTCCTCATCCCACCTCCTACTCCCACAGGCACACTCACCAATGACACTGCAGACACAGTTCTCCTTCTTGGCAATGTTCTGGAGCTGTCCTATCAGAGAGGCTGTGTTGTCACTGCTCAAAGCAGCAAGGCCCATGTTCTTGAGGCTTTCGTGGATTTCCTGAGATACCTGTTCACTCACAGTCACCATGACCTCCTCAGGCCTGGACCATGAAAGACAGTGAGGTGGCACCCACTGGGTGGCCCTGGCATCTCCACGCCAAAAGCTAGGGCCACTTGAGAGAATCCCAGCCACCCCCTGCCCCAACACACACGTCCGGTAGGCAGCAGGGCCCAGTGGGTAAAGGCAGTGTCTTCACTGTTACCTTCAAGATCCCAACTAACCTCTATATAAAGTACCATGTGCCACTTCTAAGAAAACAAAACAAACTGTGAAACCAACTCTGGACAAGGCTGGTTTGCTTCTGTCCTTGCTCGGATCTGCTCAGCCTTCTTGAGTCCATGAAGAGTGTGTGTGTGTGTGTGTGTGTGTGTGTGTGTGTGTGAGTGAGTGAATTTTTTAAGACTTCTTTTGACATTTTCCATGGTCATTTGTCCTACTGCACGAACTAGAATTACAAACCTGGCCTTTTGGTTCCTCTTTTTCCTTGGTGGGATGCCCTGCACATAGTGGATGTTCAATTAATATTGCTGACCAACTGGTGACTCCTGGATATACACAGTATATTGTAGCAAGCAAGATAAGGAATCATTTTGTAGCAAACTATCCTCCACGCTACCCGTTTTGGAAGGAAGTTTTATTTTTCTTTGTCACAAGCCTCAAGACCACCTATGGAAAAATACCAGCAGTATTTGTGGATGGTTCTGAAGGGCCTTTCTGTGGTTTGTGGTGGAAGTAAGCAATCATTCATTACTTGCCTATGTCCTAAATACTACATGTCATCTTCCATTCTAAAAAAGATTCATTTTAAAAAAAAAAAACAGCCACTCACCTGGAGTTGAACTCCTCCGTCAGGGCTTTAGTGACACGTTTCAGTTTATCCACAAACTGAGGTGAGCCAAATAGAACATTGCCAGAGAAACTACTGGCCACTAGCAAGACTGAGGCCAGGATGGTCAACTGGTGCAACTGGGACTCCAGCTCCTGCAGCCGGGTTCTATCCATCAGCAAGGTCTGGGGAGCCAAGGAAACGCAGGCTGTCAGGACCGGAGGGTCTCAATAGAAGCCCTGAATACAAAACAACAAGGCAATGCCCCTTGCCCCCATTCCTACCTCAGGGAACTCTTCATTTTCAGGGTCCCAGAGCAGGAGGTTCAGGAAGCCCTGGGACAGCACCATTGAGGAGCTAAGGGGTTCCGGGTTGTTGACTGCCTCGTTTGGAGCCCGGCAGTCCACGCTGGAGGAGTCAGGAGTGTCAGGGGAAGTTGGAAGTGGTGTGGTGAGGTCTGCTACTGCTTGGGTTAGCCATTTGGTGGTGTGATCAAGGAGGTCTATGACAGAGACAGGCATGTGTAAGCACCTGCAGCCTCTGAGGCTTCAAGACTAAGGTTTCTTTTCAAGATAGACTTCTGGTCAATAAATGCTTTTCAGGTCTGTCTTAGATAAATGTTCCTTCTCCATCCTCCTACCTGAGGAAGAAACTTTCTACTCCTAAAAAGAGGGAGAGCACTCGCTAACATTTTGAAAGTCAGACCCAAGGTGCTATCTTCCCACTTCAGATCTCAATTTATATACATACTAGGCTGCGTGTTGAGGAGTTCCTGGAATCTAGCCCGTTCATACTGGATGGAGTGTTCCTGCAGGTGGGGTTGAAGGCTCTGGATGGTGTAGTTCACCACCATGTCCATTTCCATCAGGCCCAGAACCTTGAAGATCCCTCTGTCATAGGGAAATACAATATTTATACTATGAAAAGACATCTAGTGAGGAGGGAACCCAAGCAAGGAGTCATTAAATAAGTGTAATTCAGAGTTAGGAGGGACCTTAAAACTAAGTCCTACCTCTAAAATTTACAGAAAAAGACTATGTGGCCCAGGGCCCAAAGCCAAGGGGATTAGTGGCAGAACTAGGAACAGGTAAGTCTCTGGACCTTGAAGCCCCCAGTCTAGATCTCTTTCAACTATGGTCATTCTGTTGTCTCTTCAAAAAAGTAGTCAGTGGAAGCAAATACACAGCATGTTAAAAATTCTGAGTGGGATTATGAGTGATGCTATTCAGACTCATTGAGACAATCACTTTGACTTTCTGCATCTTGGTTCCTCTAGCTATTAAAGGGATAACCTCCCATCCCTGTCCCTCTCATAGTGTGTAAACTGGAACAAGAGAATACCTGGGATGTTTGAACTCCTTGGAGAAAGTATACATACTCTAATGTCCTATGGTAGCATGTTATAGATGGGGCCCAATCAATCTAAGGATAACCAAAGGGCACTGTGAGGCCATCTTTGGAAAAGAAAAGCCAATAGGCCAAAAAGGAGAAAAGAGGTATTGGTCAACTCTTTAGTAGAGAAGAGCCAGCCAAGACAGGACTATAATACAGTGTCTGGCCCAGCTTTCCCTGTCCAGAGGCTGAGGTGGGTTTCAGGGGACCATACATCAAATTTTGCACCTCAGTAACTGAACGGGGTCTGTAATGTTCTCTAGGTTCTGCACTGCTTCATCTCGAACTGGTGCACACAGCAAAGTCATCATGTTGAGAATGAACTTAGAGAGATGAGGGACATCCAAGGTCCCGTGCTCTGCTTCCTGCTTGCGGAGGTCCATGTTCAGAGTTTCTTCAATCTCACTTCTTAGGCGGATCTGGCGTGGTAATAGCAGTGATAGCAAGATCTGCCCAGAAAAGAAAGTCAAAGTAGGAGTTGCACTGTTTAGAGTCCCAAACTTTCTCCAATGGACAGTCCCACTAGCCAAAGGCAACCCAACCTGTGTCTTCTGAGGATCAAGAAGTTGAGTTCCTAAGTTTCCTAGAGAATATTACTTATCTTTGTTTAAGGGGCCAGTGACGATTCAAGGCCTCAGGATCAATTACAACAGTAGTATATTATTTTCTAGACAAAATGAGATAAAGATGAGAATAAAAATCTGGGGGTGTGGTAAAACAAATATAAAATACACAATATCACATGGGAATGAGGTACTCTTAATAAAGGAGGAAGACATTTTTGAGATTGCTTTACTTCAAAGGGTAAGGATGAAATAGACAAAAGAAACTGCTAAGAGTCACTTGAAATAGCCTATTAATCCAAAAATAGAGATTCCTTGTGGACAGGCACTCTCTTACTATCTGTGTTCTTCTGAAACATACAGAACTTGGAGGAGGGGTCAATGAATATGGGTTTAATCAAATGGAATACTGTATTGTCATAGCAAGATCCCAACTCTTTAGTTTCATCTTAAACAAATGAAATGAAAGTTGCTCCAGACTACTTATTTAAAATGGTGAACTGCCAGTTATCAGTTAGAGCCTCTCAGCTCCAAATTCACCCTTCCGTGCCTACTCTGCAAAAATAGAGTTGGGCCCCTTGTGTATTTTTCCTTTGCTGGCTGGCAAAAATGTTATGTTTCGTCAGTAGAGAGCACTAAAGAGACACTGCAAAAGGAAGAGGCCTTCCTTCCTGGTTCTGGTGTGCTCCTCTCAGCAAGCTTCTACAGCATGGCAGCCTCTCTGTTCAAATTACTGTGTGATTTCTGTCTCTTGATTGGACCCCGACTGATACAGAATTGGTACATAAGTGGTGTTCAAACCCAAATGGCCATATGTTCATTGGATCTGATGAGCAGGAAGTACTTTACATACCTTAGAAAAATACACACAAACTACAGGATAGCAAGTAATCCTCACAAAAATTCAGGGGTCTGTCACCTCAGAGAGGTTTCTATGGGTTCAGTGGTCTGGAGCTTGTCGAGCTATCTCCTCCAAGGTGAAACACAAGTTTCCATACCTCAAACTACCTACCATGAAAAAAGAGGCACAACATTTGGTAGGTCTTTTTGGATTTTTGAAGCAACATACATCACATTTGAGTTTGTTACTTCAACACATTTATAGAGTCACTCATAAGGTAGCCAAATTCAAGTAGGAACTAGAGAAATAGTAGGCTCTGTAGCAAGTTCAGTGTACCGTACAAGCTGCTTTACTATTTGAGCCTTATGATATAGCAGATCCAATGATACCTGAAATGTCCATGGCAAATAAAGATGTAGTAGGGAGCTGCTGGCAAGCACCAATAGTAGAATTACAGTACAGACCTGTAGGATTTTTGAGCAAATCTATGCCCTCTTCTGCAGATAACTATTCACCTTTTGAGAAACAGCTTCTGACTTGCTAATGGACCTTGGTACAGAAGAAACACCTAACCATGGGACATCAGGTGACCATGTGACCTGAGTTTCCCCTCAAGAACTAGGTGTTGTCTGACCTACCCAATAATATTGGGCATAAACAGCAGGAATCTATCATCAAACGAAAATGGCTTATGCTTATAAGATACCAAGCACAGGCAGGTCCAGAGGGACAAGTAAATTGCAAGAGCAGGTGGCTGAGACTCCATTATCAGCAACTCCTGTTACATCACCTCCTCTCCCTTAACCCATGGCTATGGCCTTCTGGATGTTCTTTACAACCAGTTGACACAGGAAGAAGAAGAAGAAGAAGAAGAAACAAACAAAACTTGGACCTAGTTTACAGATGGGTACATACAATATGCTGGTAGCAGCTGAAAATGGACAGCTGCAGCCCCACAGCCCCCCTCAGGGGTGACCTTGAAAGACAGTGGTGAAGGAAAATCCTCTCAGTGGGCAGAACTTCAAGCAGTCCATTTGGTCTTCCACCATGTCTGGAATGAGAGGTGGTCATAAGTACAGTTCTACACTGATTCATGAGCAGTTGCTAAGGGCTTTGCTGGATGGTCAGGGCCTTGGAAAGACAAGGATTAGAAAACTGGAAATAAGGAAGTCTGGGGAAGAGGTCTATGGATGGACCTCTCAGAATGGGCACATACTGTACAAATATTTGTGCCCATGTGAATGCCCACCAAAGATTATATACTGCAGAGAAGACCCTTAATAATCAGGACAAAATGACACACTCTGTGGATGTCAGTCAGCCTCTTTCCCCAGCCACCCAGTGCTTGCTCAGTGGACCATGAACAAAGTGGTCATGGATAGAGACTATGCATGGGCTCAAAAACATAGACTTCCCACTACAATGCCAACCTGGCAAACATTACTGCTCAGTGTCTAATCTGTTAACACAGAAACCAAAAACTAAGCCCCTGATATGGCACCATTCCCTAAGGGGTTTCAGTCACCACCTGGTGGTGCATTGATTTCATTGGACCTTTTCCATTGTGGAGGGGGCAGAGATTGATCCTTACTGGAATATACACATATTCTAGATATGAATTTACCTTCCCTGTATGTAATGCTTCTGCCAGCACCACCATCTGTGTACTCACAGAATGCCTTATCCACTGTCCTGGCATGCCCCATAACACTGCATCTGATCTAGGAATTCATTTCACAGCAAAGCAAGTGCAGCAATGGGTTTACCCATGGAATTAATTGGTCTTACCACATACCCCATTATTGACAAGTAACTGGTCTACCTGGAAAGGTAAGTGACTTATTAAAGACTCAGTTATGGCATTAGTTAAAGGACAATACCCTGAAAGAAAGGAATTTTATCTTATAGGATACAGCATATGCATTGAATCAAAGACCCTTATATGGTGTTATCTCTGAATCAAGGGGTGGAAGTACGACTAGTTCCTCTCACTGTTACACCTAATAACCAATTTGAAATTTTTGTTTCCTGTCCTGGCAACTTGGAGCTCTACTGATTTGGGGGGAATGCTTGTGCCAAGGGATACAATGGTTACAGTGAACTGGAAAATAAGACTGCCACCTGGCCATTTTGGGCTCTGTATGCCATTGAACCAACAGGCAAAAAAAAACGAGTTACTCTACTGACTGGAGTAATTGATCCAGGAGGCGTGCCTCCAAGGTACCTCTTAGTACTTGCATGCCCAATAATAAAGGTTAATGGAAAACTACAGCAAACAAAAAAAGCAAGACATTTGACAACTTAGACTCTTTGGGAATGAAGGTTTGGGACACTCTGCCAAATAAAAAAAACCTGACTAACTGAAGTGCTGACACAAAACAAGGGAAATCTGGAATCAATAATGGAAGAAGGAAGCCAAAGACATCAACTACAAGCCTCATTACTAACTACAAAAACAAAGACTATAAATTTTCTCTTTGCTTGTTATAGCTATGTGTTTATTTGTATATGTTAACAATTTTCTTCTTCTTTCTCCTTCTCATTAGTTTATATACAGGTTGTTGGAAGTTAACTCTACAATTTGTCCTTCAAGTAACAAAATATTCAGTGTGACTGACTGAATTTGAGGAGCAATATAGCCAGCAATGGATACAATAACTGTTGGAACTGTGTGTCTCTTCATTTTGGGAAAGAGTGAGAACTTATAAAACAGCTATATCCTATTAGAGAGAAATACAGGAATTCAAGTGTGTGTAGAAGGGTACATATGGAAGCTGAATAGCTAAAGGGGTGGATTATGCCATTTATCAATTAATCACCTCTCAACTCCAAATCCGGAGCCCTGGTGGCACAGTGGTTAAGAGCGTGGCTGCTAACCCAAAATGTCAGCAGTTCAAATCCACCAGCTGCTCTTTGGAAACCCTGTGGGGCAGGCAGTTCTACTCTGTCCTATAGGGTTGCTGAGTCAGAATTGACTCAACAGCAATGGGTTTTTGGTTCAACTCCAAATCCATCCTTCTTTTCCCTGCTCTGCAAAAATGGAGCTGAGACTTTAAATACTTTTTCTTTGCCAGATGGCACATTCTTAAGCTCTGTCTGTAAAAACAAACAACCAACCAAACCATTGCCATCAAGCTGATTCCAACTCACGGTGACCCCATGTGTTACAGAGTAGAACTGCCCCATAGGGATTTCTTGGCTGTAATCTTTACAAAAGCAAATTGCCAGGCCTTTCTTCCACATGCCACTGGGTGGGTTTGAAACACCAATCTTTAGGTCAGCAGTCAATCACAGACTGCTTGCACCACCCAGGACCTTCTGTCTGTAGAGGGTGCTATTTGTTAGTTTTCTATGCTGCATAACAAATTACCACAAACATAGAGGCTTAAGACAACACATATGTTTCTTATCTCATAGTTTCCATGGGTCCAGGCACATTTAAGTTGGTTCTTCTGCTCAGGGTCTCACAAGGCTGCAAGCAAGGTGTTAGGCGGGCAGCATTCTCATCTGGAGGCTTGACTGGGGAAGAATCTGTTTCCAAGATCATTGGAATACTTGAGGACTCCGGCTTCTTACTGGCTGTTGGCTGGATGCTGCCCTCAGATCCTAGAGGCCACCCACAATTCCCTGCCATGTGGCATTCTCCATAGGCAGTTCACAACATGTCTGTTTGCTTCTTCAAGGTCAGCAGGGGAGTCTCTCCCTCCAGTCTGCTAAGACAGAGTCTTACATAATGAAACGTAGTCATGGGAGTGATGTCCTAATCACCTTTGCTATATTCTCTTGATTAGAAGCAAGGTACATATCTTACCCACACTCACAGGGAATGTGTTATACAAGGGTGAAGACCACCGGGGGTCACTTTATGGTGTGTCCACCACATACTAGAAAGACACTGCAAAAGGAAGGAACTTTTCTTCTGGTTCTGGAATGTTCACTTGGCAGGCTTTGCAGTACACATGGCTTCTGCAGTGCTCGGCTCCTACAAAGCAAGTGACTGCTTCTCCAGTGCCAGGCTCCTCCAGCACAAGTGGTCTCTCCAGCACCAAGATCCTGCAGTACACACGGTCAGCAGCACACAGCAGCCAGCAACTTCCTCTGGCACTCAGGTGGGTGTGTAGCAGAGTGCTTCCAGCAAGACACCTCCCTATGAATGGCTTTTCCTAGCACCTGGCACAGCAACTCTGCCATTCAGTGAGCCACAGACATGCCTCCTCCAACAAGGTTCTTGGGAGTTCTCAGCCCTACGAGCAGTAGCTGCTCCTTAGATCTGCTATTTCAGTATTCTTTAGAGTCCTCTTTACTTCATACTAGCCAAGCTCTCTTTCTCCAATCTTGTTATAATCTTATATTAAACATTCCTTGTTCAAATTACTGTGTGATTTTTGTCTTCTGATTAGGCCCTGACTGACATGGGACCATGTTTAGAAACAAAGTGTGCCACATAGGATTTGGTGGCCACTGACATTCGAATGAGCTAGGGGATGTCTAGGAACGTCATGTCCACAAAAGGAAGGTTGGTCACTCACCTCTTTAATTTCTTTCAGAAGTTCAAGAGCACAAGTGAAGTTAGGGGGAGTAGCTGACAGCTGCTCTTTAAGATGGTCCCAAAAGGCACTGTGCATTGTCTCCTTGACCTTGCCTTCTAGACTGTAAGAGGGTTAAATGAGCAAATTACTCTCTCCACCAAAAATTGTTATAGGATCATAACCTCCTAAGCCCCAAATGGCATTTGGTATGACGAAAGACCACTGTATTGACAATGAAGGGCCAGGAATTATGTTTGGACTGCAGCAGAGTTGAATATGCTGGGGAGAGACAAGGGCATCAGAGAAACCTCTCAGAAGTGTTCCTTCTGGTTCCAGTGCAGCTCTCCCCCTGCTGCAGGAAGAACCCTGGACAGAGGTCAGGTCTGTGAAAGTTAAAGATCATCTAGTTTGATCTAAGTCTAGATTCCATTTATGTATACATATAGCATTGAACTAGATGCTCTTTCATTTTTTTTCATCCCTAATATCTAGGAAAGGCTATTCCTTCTTTGATAATACCTGAATGTCCCACAGATAACTCCCAATCAGCAGGTCTAAAATTAAATTCCCTATCTTGTTCCTCCAAACCTGTTCCCTCTGTATCCCCAATCTCAGTGGCACTACCATCTGTCCAATCACATAATCCCAAAAGACCTGTCTTTTTCCCCATTAAAAATAATACAGTAGTAATGCATGCTCCTTGTAAACAAATAAAATTACAAGCAATACAGAGATGAATAAAACAAGTCAGAGTTCCTCCCCCAACACACAAGTCTCACTTGTCAGAGGTAGTACGTACTGGAGAATGTACTGGAATTGCACTGAACTCCTTTCTCCTCATCCTATTTATCCAGTCAATTATCAAGTTCCATATAAATTCTGCTTCCTAAATATCTCTGGAATCCACCTCTTCCTACTGTCATCTCTTACCTGGACTATTGCAATAGTCCATTTACTGGTCCTCCTGCCTCCAGGCGTGTGTCCCTTTTTAAGCTATTCTCCATACTGCCACCAATTCATTCTAAAATCAATGATTTTTATAAGATGCAATTCTGATTATGATGTCATGCTCATTTAAAGTCCTTTAGGACTCCCCATCACCAGCAGAATAGATGACTTATGTAACCTGTCATGATATTGCTCTGCCTCCCTTTTCAGTTTCTTCCTTCCTGCCTCATAACACATTGTGATCAACCACACCAAGCCATTTATAAAGAACACACCACGTTCTACCACACTCTGGGCCTCTGACATGTTTCCTCTGCCTGGAGTATCCTTTCCCACTTAGACTACCTAGAAAGCACCTATTCATCCTTTCAGTTTTACCTCCGTAGGGAAGTCTCCCTGACCCTCTTCAGGCACCCGAGCACTCTCATTAAACTCTACACGCACAAGTATGAACAAACTGAGCAGTGTGATCAGTTGTTATCTGTTATCCAACTGTGTCCCCACAGAAGCTTCTAGACAGCAAAGACAGTTATACACACACGTGTTGGAATATATATATGGGGCAGTTCTACTCTTGTCACGTGGGGTCGCCATGAGTCAAAATCAACTCAACGGCAATGGGTTTGGTTTTATATATGTGTGTGTGTGTGTTGGAATATATGCTTTTTTGATATATATGTGTGTGTGTGTATTGGAAAAAAATATATATATAATGCCAACTCCATTGCCATTGAGTCAATTCCGACTCATGGTGACCCCATGTGACAGAGTAGAACGGCCCCATAGGGTTTTCTAGGCTGTAATCTTTGTGAGAGCAAATCACCAGGTCTTTCTCCCACAGAGCCACTGGGTGGATTCGAACCACCCTTTTAGTTAGTAGCTCAGCGCTTAACCGCTGCACCACCAGGGCTCCTGGGATTTCCCTCAGGAACTTAAAATTGTAATTAGCATCATCCAATGAGCCATAGGCAAAATCAACTGCCAACTATGTATGGATAATGAATAACCTCAAACTTTATTTCATCCTTTGTCCCAATTTAATTTTTGTATTACCATACTTGGAAACCCAGCTCTGAATACAACTATTTCCCCAGCTTCATTCCTCCCTCTCTCATTTCCTCTCCCCCCACCCACCCCCACTGACCTCAGCCCTTTCGCAGACCTTCACTCTCCCAATTTCACTTTTCTCTCTTGCCCTGCCAGCAACAAAAGCCATATCTAAGCATTGAAACAGATGCTAAGAGATCTGGGTTTTAGTGAAAACCTCTTCCCAGAGCAGCTGGGATGGGCATGGACACTTACAGGCACCAGGCAAAGGTAAATCAAAGGAGCATGAAGACCAGGGGAGCAACTTGTGACAGAGAAAGGCACTTTATTTATTTATAAATATTTTATTGTACTTTAGGTGAAAGTTTACACAGCATATTAGTTTCCTATTCAAAAAATTTATACACAAATTGTTTTGTGACATTGGTTGCTATCCCTGCAATGTGTCAGTCCTCCCCCCACCCCCTGGTTTCCCCGTTTCCATTCGTCCAATTTTCCTGTCTCTTAGTGGCTTCCTTTGCCTTAGTCAAGTTGTGCTGACTTCCCCTATACTGTGCATTACCTAGAGAAAGGCACTTTAAACAGATTCTCTGAAGTAGCCAAATACCAGAAGCACTTAAGGAAGTCAACACTCACAAGCTGCCGTTCTTTATCTTTAGTCTATTGGTGGGAAATTAGAACTGCATTAAAATGTAAAATCTGACACTGAACTTTACCCATTTACCTGCCAATAATCCAACAGAGCTATTCAATTCATATTTATTGAATGTCTGTTTATTTATTGCAATTTCAGTATAGCTAAAAAAAAAAAAACAAACCCATTGCCATAGAGTTGATTCTGACTCATGGTGACCCTATGCATCATAGAGTAGAACTAACTGCCCCATAGGGTTTTCTTGGCTGTAATCGTTACGGAAGCAGATCAGCAAGCCTTTCTTCTGTGGCACCACTGGGTGGGTTGAAACTGCCAACCTTCAGGTTAGTAGTCACATGCAAACCGTTTGCACCACCCAGATGTCCCAATATAACTAAGGAGAACCAAAACAAAGCTTGATGGAGAAGGGCATTCTTATTAACAGGGTTCTGATCCTGATTCACTGAATATTAAGCTGATCTATGAAGCCAAGAAAAAAAAAAATGAAAACACTATTAGAAAATCAGTCTTTTAATTTGTGCCTGTATAATCTGTGGCCATTTAAAAGAGTTAACTGCTAGGGACTATGTGGTAGGCAGCCTGTAAGATGGCCCTGAAGACCCTCATTTCCCACTTGTGTGTCAACCACCCCCCTTGAGTGTGGGCGGGATTTAATGACATGTTTCTAGCAAACAGAACGTTGCAGAGGTGGGATATCACTTCTGAGATTAGGTTACAAGAAGACTGTGGTTTCTGTCTTGGGCACAGTCTCTCACGCTCTCACTCTGAGGGAAGCCAGCTGCCATGTTGTGAGCTGCCCTATGGAGAGGTCCATGTAGCAAGGAACCGAGGGAGGCCTCTGGCCAACTCTCAACAAATTGTAACCCCATGAGAGACCTTGAGCCAGAGACACATAGTTAAGGCATGCCCTTATCTCCAACCCCCAGAAACTGTGAGATAATGAATGTAAATTTTGGAGTAATTTCTTATGTGGCAATAGACAGCTACTATAGGTTAGTTACTCCAGGTCTGCTGGAGAGATCTGAGATCTACCTTATTTCTATTTCATTATTAACTGGTATCCCAAAGGGAACATTCCAACAATAATACTCTTATTTGCTGATTAAATAACATTTGCTTCTTGATCCTTTGATACTAATAATTACAACTTATTACTCTCCTGTTTAAGTTGTCGAGACCTCTTAAGGCTTATATGCAAACACTGATTGTATTATTAAATAAAAATGTTCCAGGCCTGTGCTATGGACCTGTGCCAGGATGAGTAAAATGGGGACAGTAGAAGGGCCTGTACCTGTTTGGAGGTAAAACCTCCTCTTCCGTGTGGAAATCATGATTCGCCACAATCTCACGAGTAGTGCTCAAGTTGGAAACTGTCTCCATCAGATCTGTGACAGAAAATATTTATGGTGGGTTCTCTGGAAAAAAGCACAGCGACCATCAACAAACAGGGAAGGGAGCCCACACAAGTCTGAATTTCTGTTTAATTCAGAGACTCACTCAACTGAATAGGCTCCACATTTAGATTCATCAAACTGATCTTACACAGACTCAATCATTCTAGTCATTTATGCTTTCTGAACTCTATGTCCTGTGACAGTGCTAGAAATTCTTAGAGTTGTCAGCATGGGGAGAAGGGAGGACGAAGAAGCTGGTTTATAAAAAATAGAAAGAGAAACTGATTAAAAACTTCTCTCTTAAAAAGTAAAATAATAATTAAAGCAGCAAAGAAGCAGTTTACAAAAATAAACACTTATCGAAGGGTATTATGTTTCCACTTTCCTCTTCCTGTTTCCGATGCTGTACACAATGAAGCCAAATTCTCCCTACGGATAATACTTGGATCTTACTGAATGGCTCCAAAGTCACCTTAGCCTCCTAAAGCAGTAGTTCGCAGATTTTAGGATTCTACAGACCAATAAAATCTCCAAAAAGATTTTGAGCAACTGACAGCTTGCCAACTTTTTATTTTGCCGAGTATAAACACTGAAACAAGCAAACAAACGATAAAAAAATCCACCCTACCACCACCAAAATCAACATTTCATAAAAGGCTATTTTACCTACAAAAAAGCAGAAAGGAAATATTGTCAGAATAAAGAACAGTCCTTTAAATTGAATTAATATAGCTATAGGAAAAACTCGTTACAATATCCTTGTAACTAAATATTGCTAAGAATTTGGCTGCAGACCACGACTGACATTTGGGAGCACTGTTCTACGTTCTCAGTACAGACCTAGCTGATAGCATTCTCATATACTGGGCATACATGGCAGTTATAATAATTACTTGGTATAAAATAAAGTTGTACTCAATAAATCAGATTTTATCACTCACTTTCAATGAAATTGCATAATTTGGTCACAAAAAATTACTTGGCTTCAACATGTGGAGGGGATATAGATGAAACAAGATCGGCCATGAGTTCAGAATTATTGAAGCTGGGTGACGGGAAACGAAGGTTCATTATACTAGTCGCTCGGCTTTTGTAAATGTTTGAATTTGCCATAATAAAAAGATTTTAAAATGTTAAAAGGAAAAATAAAGTTATTGTAGCAAAGAAGTTACACAGGAGGATGCCCTTGTTTTTAGAAGACAACATGATTTAGTGGTAAAATCATGCTGTCTGTAAATTTCAGAAAGAATGAAAAAAATTATATATAAAGAAAAAAGCAAATTTGACAGAATGTTAATAATGTGGGTGTTCACTGCATTTTTTTTTATTTTTCAATAAATTTAAAATATTTCCAAATAAAAAGTTGAGGGGAAAAGGTTATTGCAGAATTTTATTTAAAAAAGTCAGGGTCCCTGCTTAAAGGCAAACTGAACCTTAAGCAGGAGGCTGAAGTTTCCTTTATTTCTTCAGCCTCTATGAAATCTTTAGTTTCAGCCAAAATGGCAAAATGCAGTCAAATATGTAAATAGATGCATCGATAATTCACTAATTTTAAATGAGAACTAAGAGAAAATCTTCAAAGGGAAGTTGAGCTACAGTAGCTTATTAAAGAACGGAGGGAAATATTATACACAGAGACATTTTCCAACTACAACATATCAAAGTTCACAGCCTGCCTTGACAAGATTTTTCTGTTGCGTGAAAGCACCATAACACTAAGTAACTCCAGACTAGCACTGTAAAATTTAGGAAAGGGGAGGGCTCAAAGTGAAATTAGAAATAAAATGTAACTAAAATACAAAGAAAAAAAAAAAACAAAACCTAGATTCAAGAACAAAGAAATTTTCAAGAATAAAGATAAGGTAATAAGTAACTTAACCAAGCCAACCTAATACATAAAATTTCATATTTAGAAAAAGGGAGAAATTCGGTTATTCATTTTATAGAAAATTGTTTTACCTATGGATTCCTTTAAACAACCACCTCAAGAAATTAAATTGTATTTACAAAAAGTTGATTTTCACCCCATATCAGGTTCACATCTGTTGAATAAGTATTCCAAATCAGTATTCTGAGGCACCCCAAGATGACACTTTGGCGCCTTTCTGTTAACCAGCAGCGACCCCATGTGGCCATAAGAGACACATATGTAATTCAGCTTTAGCTTAGGTTATCCCATGGGGACTGATGACTGGTTAAATTCTCCGGATAATATCATAAAAGAAATGCAGTGCCAGTCCCAGTGAGGTTTGACCTACCATTAAGTGTGGAGGAGACCTCGTGCCTCAAAGTGAACTCAAAACATTTACTTTCTGTTGCTGTTAGTTGCCGAGGAGTCCATTTCAAAACATGGTCACCCCATGTGGGCAAAGTAAAACCGCTCCATGGGATTTTCAAGGCTGTGACCCAGAGCCAATTAATATACGCCCAGGGCAGGATTATTCCTTGAGTCAACAAAACACCAACAGAATATAATTCCTGCCTCAGCTCGTTTAAAAAGAAAAAAAAAACCTCATTGCTGTCGAGTAGATTCCCACTCATAGCGACCCTATAGGACAGACTAGAACTGCCCCATAGGGTTTCAAGGAGCGGCTGGGGGATTCGAACTGCCTACCTTTTGGTTAGGAGCCAAGCTCTTCTGCACTGTACGACCAGGGCTCCTCAGATCATTTGGGACCTTTAAAATCTACCCCAGGAATCTACCATTTTCCACCTACATACAAATATAAAATACAAGAATACAAAGATAGCTTTGAACTGTCAATTCAAGTAATCTCGCTTGGGTCATTTCTTTTTCAAGGACCAAAAACTCTTTGAAGCCCTTCTGGTCAATAGGGGCCTAGGGACTGTAAGTACAGATTGGGGTGGAAGGAGATAAGGAGAAGGGAGATAAAGATCAGGAGAGGGAGGGTGAAGAGAGAAAACTGTCAGGCTGCAAGGGTCTGCGGGCTTCCTTAAAGGCGCTGGGGCTCTGGCAGGCGGCTTCTTGCCAGCTTGACACACCATAAGCACTCTCGAGGGGGCGAGAGGGACGGGCTGGCGGAACCTACGCGGAGAGTGGTCCTCTGGACCGCTCTTGCCTTCCTGGGTCCGTCCTGGTGTTTGGGGCTTACAGGGCCCACTCTCTGCATCGCTAAGGTCCTTCTGGGGCACACTCTCCTCGACGTCCGGCATTTTGCTGATGGTATCTGGGTTGAGAAGAAAAGGTGCGCTATTGGCATCGGGGGAGGGGGCTCTCCAACCGCCAACGGGGACCCCAAGGGCAGGCCCACCGCGTCGGGCCTGGGAGCAAGATAGGGGCAGCGGCTTCAGGGTCTCTCAGGGGGCAAGCAGGGAAACAGGAAACTGGAGGAACTGGAACGAGGAAACTGAGGACACAGGAGCCACGACGCACCGCTGGCTGCGCTGAGCAGGACCCTTCATCGACCCAGACCGCAAAGCGACTCCTCGCGCGAAACTCCCGCCCTACGCCCGCCTCCTGCTCCGCACTGGGCCTGGCCGGCTCCGGGAGCAGGGGGCACCTGCGGCTCTCGGGCTCCCGGGCTCTCACCTCCTCCGCCCCAGGGACCCGCCGGACCCACTCTGGAGTCGCTATGGCCGCTGCGCGGCCTTCGAGCCCGGACCGTACCACTGCGGCCAGCCGGAGGGAGGCAGGGGCTGGGAGACACCGGGCAGCGGTGCGGAGGCCACGAGGCCAACTTCGGGCGCAACCCGCTAGCGACGCCAGGCGGGCTCGGTGGGAGACTCTGGGATTTGAAAAAAAACCGCCGCGGGTCTCCAGGGGCAACGAGGTGCTACCACGTGCCGGACGCCGAGGGGTGTGCGCCGGGGGCGGGGCCACCAGGGGTAGAAGCAGCAGGCTAGCTTGTCCGTCCGTCGCGGGCACGAAGCTCTCCAGGCGTCAGGTGACAACGTCACTGGGGTGCGTCCCTCTCTGTTGACTCCCGCCCCCCGCAAAAAAGAACACCTGGAACTACTTAAAACACATTGCCGTCGAGTCAATTCCCCCTCATAGCGACTTGAACTACTTAGGAAGGGAAAAGAGCGCTATTTTTGGTGAAACACAGACTCACACCCAGGAGGGTCTTTTCTTTAGCTTATCCTCTGCACACTGTGCGAGGAGGGACAGAAAGGCCATTCTCCCATTTTACAGATGTAGTACTGAGAATCCATGCGCGGGACTGGTCAGTGGAGCTGTGAGGGCTGGGATCCAGCCTAGGCTCCATTCAGCCTGCTCCTACCGCATTCCTAGTGTCTGTGACCTCCAGTACGGGCCCTCCTGCTCCTTGGCCCCAGGTAACCCTTCTTAACTTGTGGTCTGCTCTGTCGCCTCTGGAATGATGTAAATACCTGGAGTGCCTTCTCCCCAGTTCTTTTGGGGGGCAAATGAAAAGTAAGGAAGTTTCCACTCCACATTCTCCCATCCTTATTTGTTACTGACTTGATTTCTTCTCACAAAAGATTACTTTTTTAAAAGATAAAAGTATTACCTGTAAGAAACCCCTGCCTTGGACTAGTTCTCATCATAACCCTTGCCTTGCTAGTGGGGGGTGGGGATGTGTCTTGCACAACTCATGCATTTTGAGGGGGAAAATTATGAAGAAAAAGTCCAAGAACATTTCTGTTTGAGAAAGATCCACTCCACCCTGCGGCCCAGGCAGATATAAGGGGAATGGCCTGGTAAAGTAACAGGTTAGGACTTTCGGTTTCTGGTCCAGCATGCAAGGTGCTTGTAAGTCATAACCTCCTGTCCTCACAAGAGAAAAACCTGAAAATCAACAACTCTTTTTAGGTCCATTAGATATTTGAGGTCATAGACCAAACCATTGCCTCAAAAGCTGAAGGGACAGAGAATCACTGAAAATCACCACTTACTGGGAGCAGAGACCACAGCCCCTGCTTCTACTGTTGCTGCTGGACCCAGCATTAGGAAGAAATACTTAAAGTGTAATTGACTACTTGCTGGAGACTGGGCATGGACTAGTTTGATTAAAACAGGAGGTCCAGCCTTGCACAGGGGCACATACCTTCGTGAGTGTCACCTCCAGGAGCCCCACCAGTTTTCACTAGGAAGCTCTGAGAAAAATCACCTAGTGCTTGCAGCAGGGGAAGGAAAAAAGTAACCATTCTGAGATAATGCCTGCCGTGAAGGAAACTGCTTTACCAGAGCCTAGCCAAAGTGGGTTTTATTAGCGCTTAACTGACTTCGAGGAGGGGAAATATCTAGCCTTCCACATGGGGGAAGGGAAATACCCAACTCCAGGCCACTCCAGCCTTCCTGTTTCTCCTAAGGGGTTGGGGGGTGGGGGTGGGGGAAATTGAGGAGCACTTGTGATGGTCACAACTCATGGGCACAGACTCCCTAAAAGACTGCGACCTAATCATAGGGCTATAGAATGCTTTCCCTCCCCTCACGCTTTACCACTACATCAACATCAACAGAATTTTACAACTGAAAGAACCTCTGTTCCTCTTACCTGATACATCGTGCCTGGCTTTCAACCAAAAATTACAACGCATGCTAAAAGCAAAAAACACAGTCTGGAGAGATAGGGCAGACATCAGAACCAGACTCAGATACAGCAAAGATATTAGAATTATCAGACTGGAATTTGAAATAACTATGATTAATATTCTAAGAGTTCTAATGAAAAAATGTGGACAACATAAAAGAACAGATGGATAATCTAAACAAAGAAATTGAAACTCTAAGCAATACTCAAAAGGAAAGAGAAATCAAAAACACTGTAATGGAAGTGAAGAATGCCTTTGATTAGCTCATTAGTAGATTGAATACAGCTGAGGAAAGAATCAGTGTGCTTGAAAATCTCAGGCGAAACTTCTCAAATTGAAAACCCATGAAAAAAAAAGACTGAAAAAAAAAGGAACAGAATATCCAAGAACTCTGGAACAATTACAGTCATCCCTCGGTATCCGTGGGGGACTGATCTGTGGATGCTCAAGTCCCTTATATAAAATGGCATAATATTTGCATATAACCTATATACATCCTCCTGTATACTTTAAATCATCTCTAGATAACTTATAATACCTAAATACAATGTAAATGCTATGTAAATAGTTTTTAATGCTTAAACTTAACAATTAGGGTCTTTGCAAGCTCAGACGAGTCCTGGAGAGACACCAAGGATCTGTGAAATGGCAGGAGGCTACAACAGGGTATGCCTACACATAATTTCATTCGTGTAGATTCAGCATAGTGTTCGGCGTGAGGCAAATTTAAGTTTTGCTATTTGGAACTTTTTTTTCTTTTTTAGAATATTTTTGAACCATGGTTGTTTGAATCTGTGGATGTGGAACCCATGGTACGGAGGGCTGACTATACAAAAGGAGTAACATATGCATAATGGGAATACCAGAATGAGAAGAAAGATAAAGGAACAGAAGAAATATTTGAAGTAATAATGGCTGGAAATCTTGCAGAATTGTTAACAGACACTGCGGTGCAATGAATTACTTAATATGGCCCTTCTAGCCATGGTCTTTGTGATTCACGCACGGTGATGGAGTGGGTCTATGCAAATAAGGTATATGGAACTTGTGGTGGTTGGGATTACGTGTCAACTTGGCTAGGCCATTATTCCCAGTATTGTGTGGTTTTCCTCCATTTTATGTATTATGGATCCTGACCTCTATATGTTGATGAGGCAGAATTGGTATAAGGTGTGTCTTGGGTCACAGCCTTGCAGAAGGGTATGACTCAAGCCCCACCTTCACTAAAATTATACCCTTCCCTGGGGTGTGGCCTGCATCTAAGATATATGTGGGTGTCCTGGCGAGGCTCTTTCTCTCTGCATCTGGAAAGAGGGAAAACGATAGTGATTAAAAACTTGGATTTACATAAAGAAAGGAAGCGCATTTGAGAAGGAATAAATGAAGATGAAATAAAATATTTTATTTTTCTTATCCTTAACTGATCTGATGGAGCCCTGGTTGCACAGTGGTTAAGCACTCAGCTGCTAGCCAAAAAGTCAGTAGTTCAAATCTACCAGCCACTCCTTGGAAACCCTGTGGGACAGTTCTCCTCTGTCCTTTTGGGTCGCTATGAGTCGGAATCAACTCAATGGCAACCAGTTACAAGATCTAACAGATAACAATGTGTTAGAAATAATAATTTTTGTTGTTGCTAGTTGCCATCAAGTTGATTCTGACTCATGGTAAAAGAATAATTTCTTTCATAAGGATCGGCACAAAGCTGGTTCCTATGAGGCGAAGGTTAAAGATGTCTCAAATGTCCAACTTCTCCAAGCTGCTGTACTGCTCTATCATCTCTAACA